TTTTTTACCCTCAGACATCTGTACTGACTCGAATTGGGTCATTTGGGAAGCGAGTCGCTCGAGGTGAAGCTTGATGTTCTTCCAGCGAGTGTTGATGTGTTGGACCCTGAATAGGATGACATTGAGCGATTAAAGTTGCGTGGGGTGTGGGGGACATTAACACAAGCGTATATACACGACTTTCACGATGGCCGACACTAATCAGCATATTATTGTTAAATTCATAATGTTGACAAAAGAAAACACTCAGATGATATATATCAAAGYTAAAGATAAGCTCTGAAAGTTTCAAAGAAAAATATTAAATCCTCTGGAAGTTATAAGGGTTGGAAGATGCACAAAAACACCAAAACGAGGCCACCTAGGCCTCAGTAAAGACTTTCATACAAATCCTTGTATTTTCATTCCTTCATAACCTCGTTAGTATTTAGTCTATATCTTCAAAATTTTGCACAATTACTTATATCTGACAGTTCTTCAATATGACAGTGCTGAATGTTTCCTTAATATTGCCAATCATATAAAATCGATAGTAGGCACTTGTGAAAGTGTACTTTCAGTACACGCAATTGCAGTTCTATCTGGGRAAAAGCAATGGAACAAAGAAATGTTGTGTCGACGCCCAATCAAATCTGCTTCGCATTCCCATGCAAGACGACTGCAAACATGATTTTGTTAATATGAAAAAAAGAGAGAGGCTGAGTCACAATCAACACAGATTGCCCACTCCCAATGATTATGCTCACTCCGTCTAAAGTAATCCCAGTCACTATGTTTAACTGCTAACGAGAGGATTTCTATTTAATGGACATCATACTAGATGAAACACAAAATACCTTATGTATGGATAGTTAGCAAGTAAAAGTTTTTTTTATAACACAACTATGTCTGATTTACTTACTTATCTCTGAGATCAGCCCCTCTTGAATAATGTCCCGCAACCAGTAGCTCAGTACCAGATAGCATGTGYTTAATACTACTCTCAAACATCTGTAAAAGATAAAACCTTACTTTTAAAAATTCATGTTCTGAATGAGAAACCCCTGGGTTAATAAGGTGTAGGGTGTCACATCCAAGATCATCGTMTTCTYACCATAAGAGAYTTTTCTATACCAACGAAGTGTTTTTTTCTTGTAGCAGGGTCGACACTATCACCAATTTTCTCTTCCTGAAAAAATGCACACATGTATACGAGAATTAGAGGAATACATAGMGTAATGTTATAAACAATTATTATAGTAAGGATTAAAGAAGTGGCAACAACAAAAGGCTAGAGCCTTATAACAGCAGGTAATAAAAGAACAGCGTTGGCACCAATTCCAGCAACAGAAAATACACCTTCGATAAAACCTGGACAAAAGCACTGAACARCGTGACCATAGCAACATAGCCCCTGCCTACTTGACGACGGCAGATAAACCAAGGAAGAACAAAAGATAGACGCGCACAAACGAAACCACAGGCAACCCAAGCAAACTTATCGTGAAAATATCGATTATTATTGATAATATTTATTCTTAGGGTARCCAGAAAAAAGAATTTACATAAAACAAGGAACGATACAAGATGGATAACTATTTTCTATATTGACAACTCTCGGTTTACCTGACTAATGAAGATTGTTATTGGTTTTACTCACCGCTTTAATCCTGTCCTCGATATCGTCGAGGGAAGCGTCGACTAGCATTGCCTRAAAAAAATATAATAAGCAATGTCTTTCTTTATTTTGCTTTGAAATCCGACATTACATTGTAYACATTGAAAATACATTCAAATTTATATAGATAAATGTCAAAAAAACTGACGYAAATTATATTATAAATAGTCTGAACTCATCTTAAATGAGTAAATAATAAAATCAGTTCTGAACATACCTCTTTGTGGATTTTCTCTGCTACCTGCGACATCTGTTCGAGTCTGGCAAATAAACAACAATATCGGGCTATTAACACAAAGATGGCCGACATCGATTATAATCAGCCTCTCTACATTGCTGCGTTGGCGTGAAAATGTACGCGAATCAGTAATACACAGGTCTGATGTATTTTCGTAGAAGGAAAAAACACGGCGAAAACGCATCATTAGGACAAGGTCCGGTTGTACAAAGGGTGGATCCACCGGTTAAAGTTATCAGTTCCYTAGATTTTGTAGGGGATTTYATCCGCTGGATAAGGATTTATAGCGCTATTCACCCGAACGGCCCGATGTCGTCTAATCCGCATCATCTGCCTATCCATTCATTCCGCTGAAGACAGAAAATAATATACAAAAACGCCAATAAAACGGAAACGAAAAGCGTCACCCATTCATTCTATTGAAAAGTGAAAACGTTACAAAAACGCATCAGCTATGAAAGTTTGTATGAAAGATTGAAACGACGCGAAACACATCACTCAGTCATTCATTCCGTTGAAGACCGAAAACAATACAGAAACGTAATGAAAACGGATCGGTTACAACAGGTCGTCTAAAATACTGGAAAGACGCGAAACACGTCACTTTAGTCATTCATTCCATTGGAAACCGAAAACAATACAACGAAAACGCATCGATTAGCACAGGCTGACTTGAGATATTACCGTAATGAAATACATGTGAAAAAGTACTGCACCTATGAAAACACAGTAATACTTGTCTAAATAGTGCAAAAACATACTGATACTGAAGTCCTCTATAATAGACAACAGGCTTTAGAAAGTATCAGACATCTGTATCAGACGTATCTCTGACAATGATCAATCTCAGGTTATGTTAAATACACTTTACCTTGTTAGTTCTATCCGTAATGATTTGTTGTATGTTTCTTGAGTTTCAACTAGTTTAGTCCAAAGCTGAAATAATCACACCACATGAATTGACAAGGGACATAAGGTAAAATGTAACGAAATAAAATACAATACAATRAAACGCAAAACAAGATGAAAACCAATTAGAATAAAATGAGAAAAGATACGATATGAAATGCAAAGAAAATAAGATAAAATACCAATTAAATTCAAAACAATTAAAAGACAGAGAATAAAAAATATGGAAGAGAAATTGAACGAAATGTACTGAAAGTAAACGGGATATACGATGGAAATGCAATAAAATAAAACAAAATGAAACAAAACGTACTGAAAATATACAATGGAATGCAATTGGGCGAAATCTACTAAAACTAAATGAGATATGTGAAATATGAAAATGCATAAAATGAAATAAAAGGTACTGAAAAAGAACAAAAACTGACGCCATGCTATAAACATACCACTTCGAGTTCACGCGGACTGCAGTCTTTTGGAAAGTCAAGCCACGTTGTCATTGGACCATACAAAACCTAACGKGAAATAGATCTCCATAATTACATTGGACACAACTCACGCCAAGTAATTACACACATTAGCATTAAACATTACTAAAACGATGGTAATTTACAGTAAATCATTAGAACGAATATTAGTATCCCATGGTGAAGCTGAATAGGAAATAATTTTGTATTTTTAAAACAAGACCAGTTAGCATTTTTAATAGCTTATAGGATAGTTATTCTTTTCTWCARAAGTAACWAACTTCAATATCGAATCACTCCGCTGCTCGTTCGAAAGTTATCAAAACAACCCTATTTTGAACGATTTGACATAGGAAATATGGCGAACCCCCAAATAAACGCTCAATTACAGCAGTTGCAACAAACTGACGGGCAAATTTCACACATTGAAATTATTCACCTTTTAGCAGGTACATTTCCTGACAGCCTTAACTAGCAAAACCCCAGGACTGTTTACCCCGCTAAATCCCTTTTAATTATGACACCGAAATTTGTCACCTGCCGGACTGAAAAAGTCCTCCCAGATTATTTCTCAGGTTTTATGCCAAAATCACATCTTAATTTCAAAGACGTAAAACCCCAACAAACAGTTTAGAAGAGACACCACAATTTCAAATTGAGAAAAGAGAGCATTTTTAAGGGGCTCAGTGGTTTTCAAAAGTTTTGCATGTTCGTAAACCTCCAACAAATATACAAGTGGGGGAGTTGTAGAAAAATGAATATCAAGGGAGGGGTGGGTCAGTCAAACGCACCTGGAGATCTTTGTGAAGCATTTTAACAGACAGTCTTAGTTTAACCATGTCAGGATATTCAGTGATGCGATAACGATTGAAATCCAAGATGAGCTCCTAAAAAACAAACGTATTTAAAGTTGCCACTTTAGTACCACGTAATATTATTATTATCTCAATTCCGTCCATCTAACTTGCGTCTCTACGTCTCTTTGACTTTCAGCTTCTCTACCGTCTAACCTATCTGTCTGAAGTCTGTATATGACCTCTGACCGTCGACTATAAACCCGTCCCTCTATACGGTCTGCCTGTCTGCCGTCCCATTCAGTCCGCCATTCAGAGTGCCTGACTGTCTGTCTTTTCGTTTCTCATGGGGCAGTTTTGTCGATTCAAAAAACAATGGTTGAGGAACCAACGGTCAGATAAGGTCCGACGATGAGAGACATGTAGGAACGACGGACGATAAATAATGTGACATACCTTGATTCCATGAATAGTTTTGGGTATTTGTTGCTTTTCCAGACGAAAGATGACAGCGATGACCTGTTCAGCCAACATCTTAGCGTAACTACAGTACTCTTCATACTTGAGCTGTTTTTCCTGCAATACGCAAATGATCGATGATAAAATACCCCTAAATACCCCTCTAAATACCCCTCCTGTCGCACACTCCAAAACATACAATGGGTTATGGGTAGGACAATAGCACACTTACGTTATCGTGTAGTGACTCTTTGACTGAAGGAGTTTTGGGGAATACTTCGTACAAGGAGGCAACATATGTCAGGACAGACTTCTCGTCGGGATGTTCTGATGCAACCAAATCTATTTGATAAAATAGAAAATACAGTTAAGAKATCGAAAATAGAAAACTTATGTCAACAGTAGTGTAACCATTATTAGTAGAAGTGCGTAGAAAAGATCAGACAATACTTGAGAAAGTGCAAATAGAACGTATGAAAGTTTATAGTCTGTTTAAAGTAGAGAGACGGAGGCGATTTCAGKCTGCGGGTCTTTGATGTAATACATTATACGTCGGATCAACATAAAAAACACCACAATTACCACACCTTAGACTACAATTACCGTTTACAAAGTGGCCCAATAACAAACAACAAAAAGTCATTTCTGAGTTTGTCTTTGAATGCTTTGTTTCACTTGTTTTGTTTTGTTTTTGTTTGTTTTTTTAGTTTCGTTTTCTTTTTTCTTTTTTTTTTTTTTGCTTTCTTTTTTTTGTGTGTTTTTTTTTTGTGTGTGTTATACTTGTGTAGTGTAGTTTCAGAATTAACCTCAGTTGCAGACGTTGCTTTTTAAGTGAACTATATAAGACGACTGCAACGGAGGTTATGAAGTATCAGTACAATAAGTCTTCACCTTCGACATCGAGCAGACGGGGAACATTCAGCTCTTTTTCGGCAATATGGAACGCATATTCGACATTCGCCTCTGGAGAAGTCTTACTCAACTTTGAGAAATCTACCAAATCCGGCCTGTACATAAAAATAYCAAGTTTTAAATTTAATTTCCGTCGCGWATATGCAGTAAATCTAGYCAGATAAACGTTCAACCACGATTACGGACTTGCGGTTTGTGGCGGGAGTTTGGTGGCGCGCGCGCACTAATCGATCGAGAAGCAGCAGCTTAAAAAGCTTCCACAGGAAAACAATTATACCGCGCCGGAAAACTAAAATGATATCAATAGACAATGGTTACCTATATCTGTGTATTATCGCTGTAAATGCAAAACCATCTCTCCAAGACGAACTAAAATCTTTAATATCAACTTTGGGATATCTACAAACAAAAGTAACAAACAAGGTTCAGGGAAGATAATACACCAGTCGCCACTCATTCACGGGTGGGGTGTGGGTGGCCCATTTCCGTGTTGGTTGGGGGGGGATTGGAGAGATTTAAATTTAAAAACTAGGGGAGAATATAAGGGGTATTCGCAAATGCAMAAGACATTACCCTGTGGTATCGCCGCAAATAATAATAAATGTATTTTTTTTTTCGTTCAAAGGCTGCCCCTATGACAAATGTTTGTGCATGTGCCCAAATAAATATTCAAACGTTTTCCCACGGTCAAAAGATCACAGTTTCAATCACACTTGGTTCGGCYCTTCGCTCTAATTTTTTTTTCAAATCATACTGTTCCCATGACAACTTACCCTTGAGTGACCTTCTGTGACCACACCAGCAGAGCATCCTTAGCAGATAACTCTTCAAGTTTTTTACCAGCAAYTTCAACGTCAAGATCTGATATCTACAAACACAAAATACAACAAATTTTGTAATAAAAATTCCAAAGCAAGGGTTGCTTATTAAAGGATGCCATAATATAAACCTTGGTTATAATTATATTAGTTTGTGAGATATTCAGCCATTAAGGGCTGGGTATATATTAGGTCATGCCTGATGCAAAGTGGAGCTTGTTTCTCAATGTGGCTCACTCAAACATTACAAAAAAATACTGAGAACCAAGATTGTGATGAGGTCACATTTTGATAGGTGTCCATGTAAAGGTGTTAATAATGGTCAATTTACCTGGAAATGCAGAATAATGGTCCAGACTAAGCCAAGGATTAACTTTGGATTGCCATCAACAATATCATCACTTCTGATGTTAACAACTCTTATCTGAAAAACAAAATTCCATTTTTGAACAAAACGAAAATTCATTATCATCATCTATAATAGTTAAAAGAAGTGCTAAAGGAAAAATGGAGTAGAATTGGTCAAAGCTTACATGCTTGCTTTCCAGGAAGTTGAGTGCTGTCTGGACATTTTGTAACATGTGAAACCTCAGTTGACCTCTCTCTCTTGGCTGTAAAATCAAACAAACAAAACTATTTTTATATTTCATACAAAAATGATATTTTTACTAATCAATTAATTGGATTATCCTTCGTCACTCATGTAGGATTTTAAAACGACATTATCAGAAACTCATTGAAAAATGTAACCAATGTACATTTATTGAGTTTGCTTCGGAATATTGATTTGTCTGTTGAAACCTCTTTCTTGGTAAATCGACTGACATCTTTACACCTTTAAAATACTACAAACTAAAATCCATATAATAAAGAATCCTCTAAAAACCCTAGAATTAGAATATTTTGATTTGTAGTTCCAATGGCTATTTTGAATCAGAGCTTTAATTTCCAAATATGGTCTCAAAATTATTCTTATAAATTTGAATATTTCAGAGCATCAAACTATACTTATGTTTCAATTCTGAGTTTCTGACCCGGATGGGGGGGGGACTCCCTAATATCAAAGGGCGGGGGTCCTCGGCGGAGATTGTGAAAATGACCCCTAAAAGGGACCTCTATTGTGAGATGATGGGCGTGGCAGTGCTGATATTTCAACCCTAAAAGGGACCAACCAATAACAGGTCATTTTGTTTTGGTTTACCGATTTTATTTGTGTTTTTACACAATCATCGAACACCGTCTGCTCGTATTGAGTTTATGACGACGTTGGCATTTTATGACTGCTTAGGGTCGCCGTATACCCTAAAAGGGACCACAAAACACAGTTGGTAGGAATTCTTGTCATGATCACCCTAAGCGGGACCAAAATACTGATTTCAAACCCTAAAATGGACGCCGAGGACCCCCGCCCTTTGATATTAGGGAGTCCCCCCCTCCCCCCCCCTGGGGTTTCTGACATTATGCAGCAGCTGTCTTTATTGTTGACATTATTCTGAATTCTAATAAACTCACCAGTTGGATATGGCATAGAACTTCCAACAACTGTAACAAGAATTCACCATCACGGAATTCTTCATACAGATCTAGTATCCTAATTTTCCTCTGAAAAAGAAAACATTAAAAGTCATTATATTTGCTGTTGACTTGGGAATAAATGCAGTACTGGAACATATTTTCATCCATCCTTATGCATGAATAGCTGTGTATTTATTTCCTTTGTTCTATCTGAATTATTGTTTTTTTGTTTTTTTTTTTCATTTATATAATTATATACAGTCCTTGCAATATTTTCGAAGATTGAGATTAGACCTGGGTGTTTACAATCTAGATTGACACTGTGATGCTTTGGGATTTATAATTTAGCATTCAAGACAAAGTTGAACAAAATTRGAGAAMTACAAGAATATTCTAAAACAGAGAAATTCAGGCAATTTTGAAAGTACMATTCACAACCTCTAATTACAGGTAGTGATTTTATAATAGCCAGTTTAATACAAAACATTAAAAAAGACACTGTTTACAGTTCTATAATTTATCATTTTGGCACACYATACCTCTTATGCTCTCAAATTCGAAACCCCTCCCATTCCATTTTCCATGCATTGTTATTTTAGCACGTTGCAATGGTACAAGACATAACAAATCACTGTAAAAGTATGCTAATAGGAAAGATATTGTCAATGTCCTTTTTACACAAAGATGAATTTGCCAATAACCCATTGATAAGCACAACCATGTCTACACTGTGTTTATAACTCTGTAATACCCCTAAGGGCAAACTATTTTTACCTTTGCAATTATAACACATTCGAGAATACGAATTCTAATCACAGAAAAATGCATTAGAAGTCACATTTATAGCAACYAATTAAAAGTATCAGAACTAAACAATCGTTTCAAATCAATATGCTTCTTAAAAATAATTTAGCAATTACAATTCACAACCACAATGCTAATCACTCCTACCCAGCTGGGCAGAAGATAAACATCACTGGTCTTGTCCAATAAGAAATAAGTTAATATCACATGCACAGCCTATAACACAGAGACTGATATAATTATCAYTTGAGTGTCAGCTGCTTTGCGCTCATGATAAYACAACGTCATGCTGTGCAAAAGCAATTTTCTAAATTTCACTCGTATCAACAATATTCTTGGACATGATACATAAACATGCATGCATTATGCTACTAATATTTGTTTGCACAGGCAAAATTAACTTCATCAAAAATAAAACATCCAAGTGCAATTATACAAATATTAAATTTTCTTCTTATAAAGGATATATTATACATRTCTCAGATGAATTTATGGAAAAAGAATAATTTTTATTTTTAGTAATTTATACTACATTACTTAAGAATGCTCTAATTCTTGAAGAAATTTATACATAATTGCATATTTTCATTGCTCATTTATCCCATATCATCACCAAAGATATAAGTATCACTTAAATTAAGGAGTCTTACAATAACTTGCTGATGGAATCTCAAATTATCATTATTTTGTATTAAAAATATTTATTTGTCATCCAGGATCTCAATCTCAAATGAAMAACAGCCCTGCTATAACCTTAAGTAATGTCAAACGTAACTTGAAATTAAATTAATCCCTCTCATACCAAGAATCAATC